GCGATCTGCACCAATTTCACAAACAAGCTGCAGTAATGATGAGGCATTACCAGCCGTTTGTGTGTGTGTGTGTGTGTGTGTGTGTGTGTACCTGCAATGTATCAGCAGAGGTGAGACGTTGGCTCCACGGCTGCTCCTGACTCTCACCAGCATGTCCAGGACTCCAGCAGTCTCGTAGGGAACGTCATGATCCGGCCATGAAAGGAACTGATACTGAATCACTGACCGGCTGGCCTGGAGGAGGAGGAGGAGGAGGAAGAGGAGGAGGAGGAAACAAATTATTTTAAAACTGAAAAGGTCAAGTCATTGACATTAGCGTTCAAAATGATGCTTTAAATTATTCAAAAGTTCCGTTTCCAAAGAAACTTAGGAATTAAAAACAAAAGTCAACGAAAATGAAATCATTCTCCGTTTAACTGAAAATGATACAAACTGAAGAAAACATGAAAATGAGATCATTGTTGGATGTGATGCCAGCAGTTCTTTCAAAAAAGGTTTTGATGGCCCAGAAAATCCTGGAAAATGTTTGTAAAACTACATTTTTAAAAAAAGGAGAAGAAAGTTTTGAGTGCATTAACTCATAAAATAGAAACACTGCTGCCTCCTAATTAAGACGAAAGCAGAAACATCTCGTCCAAAGGAAAACGTCTCCTAGAAATCGCTGCCACTGTGTCCTCTGCAGGCTGTGCGTCTAAACTGGTTTATTCCAACAGGATGGCTCTGTACTGAAACATTTGGGAGCCTTTCCAGATATCCCGCCCATTGAAAGCACAAATTATGAAACAGGAAGGAGACCAAACAGCTGCTGAGCAGTTAAAGGAAAAAGTTTGGATTTTAAAGAACAGTTTCCAAACACACAAAAGAAGGAGTGATGAAAAACGTTGTCTTTGAACTATAGCCAATATTTAAAGGTCCAAACTTCTTGTTAACCCGTCCCAGCGAAGCTTTTTGAAACCTCTCACTCATGTGAAAACTTCCTACCTGCTGGAACGTGACGGTCAGATTTCTCACCACTATATCTTCATTGGGATGTGTCTCCTCCTGCTGGAGACACACGGGAACAACACGTCAGAATCACTCCAGATTATTCTGGATTTGTATTAAATAAAAGGACTAAATACAGTTTGAACAGTTAACATCGTTAATGAGGAGGTGAACTGTGCTGTATGTTCTGTGTTAATCAGATTTATCAGCAGCCTGTTTGTTCTTACGTTGCTGACAGTAAACGGTCCAAATGAAGCCGACTGCTGAGCTGCAGCCCAGTAACACTCACACTTTCTCTGCAAAGGAAAATACAGACTTGTTAGTTAAGAACACGAACCTTTAATTCTGTTTTTATCACTTCTGGTTGCACGCAGCAGTTCCACATGTACAATCAGTGATGAAATACGTGCATATGAAGTGTGAGATTCCCTTTCATTATTCAGGTAAGACTATGCCATACTTCAGTCACTAATGCAATGATATTTGGGTAGTTATAGATTTGCATATTTACTCTATTTGAGGAAACTTGAAAAAGCTTTGAGGTTTGAGAGGTTAAAGAAAATAAAGTAAAAGAGAAGAGTTTTTAAAATCTGAAGTCAAAGGTCTGAGCCAACAAAGAGATCAAAGGGCAAAAAGGAGTTTACCTTTCCCATCTCTATCTCTCTGCAGGCCATGACTATCACCTGAAACACAGAGTCAGATGTTAGTCGGAGCCTCCTGAGGAGAAGCTGCTGATCTGATGAAGAAAACGTCCCTGTGCCTCAGCGATGCACCGACTTCTGAGTCTGACATGAACAACTTCAGCAGCTGAAAAGCGCACAGCTGTGTGTGTGTGTGTGTGTGTGTGTGTACACGCTTTGTTCCCCTGCTACACATTTTGGGACACATTTCTAAAATCTGGCTTTTATTCAGCGCCTGTGAAAAACAGGGACGGCTGTGATCGTGGGCTGAGTTCAGGTGGCAAATTTCAGGACACTGAAAATCTCAATTTCTCCAGATTTCAGCAAATATGATGAACAGGACAACAAAGAAAACAAAATGCAGCTACATTAATTATTTACTTAGAAATGTAGAGGCATGCAAATAAAAAGGTGTAAATTTATGCTTTGTGTGCTAAACCTGGAAATCCAGGCTACCTTCAGGGTGTGAACAACGATGACAGCTTCTGATTTCCCATTTTCAAGTCTAGACTTCCACACACAGCTCACATGTTCCAGACAATCCTTAGTTTAAACTAGCAGACCCTACTTTCAGTCACTGTGTTTGTTATCATCAGAAATACATTTCTTTGGGCCTTTCTGGATCCATATAATTTTGATGCTTGCAGTCAAATATTCAGCAGCCATCAGAAGAACATTAAATAAGACTGAGAGAGTTTAACTGGTTCCTAGTCGTGCATTCATTTGTAGGCAGCATTTTATTGCACCGTCTGGTTGGATTAGAAGCAGCCAATCACATCACGACACATTTGGGATGCTGGATCTGAAAGAACTGGCACACTGTTACAGCGCTGCTTACTAATGTGAAGTTTAGCGTGAGCCAAAACATCACGCTTCATCTGTTTGGAATCCAAAAATCTGAGCACATAAAACACTTTAAAAAAATTTCCTTTTAAATGCAACAGAGTGGAAGCCCTAAAAAAATAAAATAAAAATCTAGTGTTTCTGCCAGAGTGGCTGATTTACATTTCAGTACAAGCCTTGTTTGTCTCATCATGCATCTTGGAGCAGCTTTCTTTTAAGCCAGCTTTTGCTCTGATTGGCTGCCCCCCGTAAGCAGCAGGGCTGAACAGTGTAAGACCTGCTCTTTGTGACGTCATACCGAAACCTGAAGCCGAAGTTTTAGGAAGAATAACAAGAAAAAGAAGAGTCCGCTTTAATATTTGTAGCTCAGACTAATTCGTGGATATTAACTGAATGCTAATGGTTTGCGTTGTGCGTTTGACCTTGACGTTGTACTGCCAGATCATCCTCCAGAAATCCGTCACAGTGGAGCTGAGGGGCCCCTGACAGGCAATGTATTTGCAGTCTCCTGTCGCCCCCTGCAGGACAAACGGCAGCATTACAACCCCATCAGAAACAGCCAAGCACGAAACGTTAAACACAGCAAACTGAACGCAGTGCGACATAAATCTGATTGTTTGACAGGTGTGGAGTTAAAATGATCTAAAGAACAGGCCATGAGTACAGAAACATGTAAGGGGTCTGAAACCGCGCTGCACGTGTGAACCAGGTGACGTTTTCATGGAAGGCAGACAGCGTTTACCTTGATGAAGCTGGCGTTGATGTAATCAGAGTTGGAGTCTGTGGTCGGCAGAGAGAGCTCCACCCGAGACTGGTCATCTACA